CCGGGTCCCGCTGGCGGGGCGCAGTGGGCGGCGGGGGAGCCCCCAAGGCGTTCCGAGCGCTCGGGGCGGGGGCGCTGGCAGCTGCCCGCAGAGCGCGGAGAGGGCGGCGGGGACTTCCCAGAGGAGACTCCGAGGCCTGGCGAAGGTCACCCGGCTCCGTCCCCGGTTGGACCCTTACAAGAGAGAGATTGCGCGCTCGAATTCTGGCCTAGGCGGAGGTGGGAGGTAAGGGAGGTTGAGTTTTAGCCTCCGGTTCAAAATGTAGTGCATTTTTCGGGGTCTCAGATTTTGTTACACTGGACACCCCCTCCCGGTTTGCACCAGCTCTGGGCCTGCACAACCTCCGTGTCATAAAAACAAATTTAAGACCCTTTGGGTTAGCAGGACCACTGTCTTTCTCCTCTCACTGCCTGTCTCATTTCTCCAGCCGTACGACTGAGTCATCTTCCAGCAGCAGCCTTGTTCCTGGCCAGGTGCAAATCCTGCCTGCAAGCAGCAGTGCTTAAAGCCAGCTTTCCTTTCTAAATAATTGTAGGACTGAAGTTGGCCACCTTTAAAGATTACATTTGCTCTTCTCACTCATTAAAATATGTTCCTGTCTTCTTTTTCTTTCTTTCTTTCTTTCTTTCTTTCTTTCTTTCTTTCTTTCTTTCTTTCTTTCTTTCTTTCTTTCTCTCTCTCTCTTTCTTTCTTTCTTTTTCTTTCTTTTTTTCTTCTTTCTTTTTCTTTCTTCTTTCTTTCCTTCTTCCACTCATTCTGCATAGGGAAGCATGAGTAATTTCATAATTTCAAGGTAGGCCCAGCAAGGAGAACTGGAAATGAGATAAGCTGTCTCAGGGGAGGTATAGACTCCACCGTAAATATGTAGGTATATACATTTGCCCATTGAAGATGTGCCTTTGGGAAAGTTCTCTATAAATGACATTTCAAAAAATATTTTTTTTGAGCAATCTTTGTCTTATAAAAACGTACCTCCTTGCAGCCCCTGTGTGTATTTTCTCAAAGTAACAGTAACCTAATGCCTTACAGTTCAGTGATTTTCAGCATTTTAATTACAAATCCACTTGGATTTTGACTTTTTCCTTTGTGTTCCATGGGATCTATTTTGTTTACTCTGTTTCCTGCAAGGCTCCCACAGAATCACCATAGGGTATTGTTGGAGCTCAGAAAAAATACTCCAGAATCGGATGTTTTGACATACTGAGTGCTTCAAAAGCAACCCTCTGAAGCAGGGTCTCTTTCAGACATGTTCTGCTACCATTCTCTATCCTGTCCCCTGTTCCCCTAGATATGCCATAGAAATCAGAATACACCTTCCCCAAGTCAGGTTATAGAAACTAGAACTCCTCTTTCCTAAAGCAGTTTTAAAGCCTAGAAATACTGATCTAACCTTCCTTCTTCCTGTGTAGGAGAGGGTCCTGAAGAAATTCTCTGTCCTACCTTTTGATAACAGCTCTTATGACCCTCATTCCAGAAGAGGTCCTGTCCCATACCTGTTTGGAAGGAATGCTACACAAATAGGCTAGAAGAAGAATCAACATAAAATAATGACTCTGCTTTAAGAGAAATCAGAAAATTGTTTATTCTGGACCAAATAGCGGTGACCATGGTCCCAGTACCTGGATTCAAATTACCTCGAGTGACACCTTCCACTGTGAAAGAGATTGCTTGAACTTTTATAGCCGCAGAACCAAGAAAGTCATAAATCAATATATTCAGTAAGTATTTTGGCAGAACATTAGTTCGGCAGGCCACAGCAAGCAGGAAAGTCTTTTCTATAAATTTCAGATGCTATCTTTTGCATTCTTAACTTTAGGGTGGATGGAAGCTACAGGTCCTGAGCTTAGCAACATATTTCAAGAGTTTTGCCAGATACAGATGCTGCAAATAAATGGCTATTAAAAGGACTAAGATAGCCCAAGAAAATTTCTCGGCCACAGTTAAGCAGTCTGCAGGATGTTTAGTATGGATATGACTTCTTCAGAGAACTTCAGTTTACATTCTCCTTTTGTCCATCTAATGTAAGGTATGTGTGCTGCCGAAACAAGCATGGTCTGTCTAATGCAAGGTGATGAGAACCATAGTTTACTGGAATGACAGTTTGCTAAAAGCTGCATGGGAGTCAGTAGATTTAGAAGTTGGGTATAATCCATTTTCAAAACCATCCCCACTAGACTAGAATGTTTAGTCCCCACTAAAGCTGCATGGGAGTCAGTAGATTTAGAAGTTGCGTATAATCCATTTTCAAAACCATCCCCACTAGTCATATGCAAATGGCTGCCAACTTCCTCAAGCCTCAGGTTTGAGGAGTGTCTGAGGATGCAGATGTAACCACTGCCTCCTTAACTATGTTTGCTCCTCCTACTAGGCAGTTTCTATCACCTCTCTGATCCCCTTTTCTAGGATCTGTCCAGAGGTAAGACAGAAGCATATCCACTTAGGAAATGACCACTCTTAAATGTGTGTAATGTTTTCTTACGTCGTCAAAATTCCTCAAGGATAGCGGTATCTCTCTCAGGTATAGTATTATTTTCGATGATAAGTTATCTATGGTTTAGATAGTTGTCCTGCAGTGGGCCATAGGTTAAGGGCTGGGTTGCTAATCTGTGGCACTACTGAGAGGTGGGGGAACCTCTAAGATATGGAACTTAGTGGGCAGACATTGGGTCACTGGCTGTGGGGATGTTAGGGCCCTAGCTTCATCCTCTTTTCCTTTGCTTCCTCTGCCACACACTTCGATGCTGAGGTACAGCTTCATCATAGGCTCAGAGGCAACACGTCAACCAGCCATGGACTGAAACCTTCAAAACAGCCAAATAAACTTCCCTTCTTATAAGTTGATTATCTCTGGTATTTTGTTATACTAAGGCAGAGCAGACCAACATGTTACTTTACATAATTTCTCCATAGATGACTCCCAAATTCAAGTTCAACCCTCATGTCTCCTGAGCAATAGGAAAGGTTGCCATTAGGGACACTTCAGTGTCCCTAAATCTAAACTCATTCTTTTCCCTTCCATTCCAGATTCAACTGTCTTAAACAATTAGGAAAATGTATTATTCCATGTAACAAGAAAACTGGGGACTGATCAGCTCTACAGTTAGTTCATTTAAGACCTCCATAACATAATCAAGAACCTAGATTTTTCACCAGGTAAGGTACTGCGTGCCTACAATACCAGTTACTTGAGAGGTTGAGGCAGGAGAATCACAAGTTGAGGCCAACCTGGGCAACTTGGTAAGATCCTGTCTGAAAATAAATAAATAAATATGTAAGGCTGAGGATGTAGCTCAGTGGTGGAACACTTGCCTAGGACCCTTGTTCAATTCCCAGTACCACAAATAAAAACAAATTTTGCTATCTTTTCATTCTAGTATCTTTAGGATGGTGTCCTCATAATGCAAAATGGCTGCCAGGATGCCAGCTGACACACACAACTTCCAGTAGAAGTAGAGACACTTTCTTCTTCCCATGTGTCTCTCTTTTCTTCTTTCTTTCTTTCTTTCTTTCTTTCTTTCTTTCTTTCGCTTGCTTGCTTGCTTGCTTGCTTTTTTTCGTTGATTTTTTTTGTGCAGGCTAGCCTTGAACTCACTTATGTAGCCCAGGCTGACCTCAAGCTCACAGCGATCCTCCTGCCTCAGCCTCCCGAGTGCTGGGATGCAGGCATGTACCACCACACACAGCGTTCTCGTGTCTCTTTCTATCAGCAAACAAAACCTTTATCAGAAGCCCTGAAGTGGACTTCCCACAGTTTCACACACTGTCACTAGCGCTGACATAATATAACAGCTCTGCTTTGAAGCAAATAGGAAAATCATTTATTCTGAGCCAAATATGAGATGTCCATGGCCTAACAACATAGACTCAAGTTAGCTTGAAAGATATGTTCTGTATGGAAGAGGCTACATGAACTTTTATAGTTACAAAGAAGGTTATGAATCAGTGCATTTAACAAAAATGTTGGTGGGGCATTTGGTAGGCAGGCTACAGAAAAATGGGGAAATCATTTTTACAGGTTTCGGCTGTTATTTTATAGCATTCTTAGCTATAAGGTTAATGGAAGCTAAAAGTCTACTAAGCTTAGTAATGTATCCCTACAGATTTACCTAATAATTACAAGAATTTTAGGTCACATATAAAGGCTCAAAGTAAATGGCTATTTTTCCAAAAGGTTTGAGGCAGCCCAAGATACTTTTGGTTCTCAGTATTCCGTTTCTCCACAATCACAATATTCTGCTGTACTGAGATCAGTCTGTAGAGTCTTTGTACAGACTCGGCTTCTTCAGAGAACTTCAGCTTCATACTAGCAAGTGTAAGAAACTATCGTGAATGGCTTAACTGGATTAAAATTCAGCTGTGTGGGCAGAAATTGGACTTCCCTGCCTAAGCATGAAGAGGTGGGTGAATACCAGCGTAACACTGGAAGGAGTGAAGACAGACTGAACACTGGGAGAATGAACAGTGGTGTTTGGTACAGATGACAGCATGGTAAATATATCAGTCAAGATGAGCTAGGGTTAGCTGTGGGAACAAGAGATTCCCAAGGCGGCTTACAACCAGGAAATTTTCTTTCTCAAAATAGTGCCCATGTCAATGGCAGGACAGCATGGCTGTCCTTGGGTTGTCTTCATGGCAGGCCCCAGGCTGATGCGTAATCTGTATTCAGAACAGTGTTGACCTCTTCTGGGAGAAAAAAGTGATCCTCGTAAACCACACATGGGCTGGAACTGATACATATTAACCTGCTCGTATTTCTTCACTAGACCAGGTAATACCTGGCCAAGGCCAGTGTCAATGGGATGAAGAGGTATAATCCTTCCCTGAGAGGGACAGCAAAAACTGGTGAGGAACTGTGACCACTAGTACAACTTGCTGCAACTGAAAACCAGAAACTGCCAATTTTGCCCTGTTAATCACTGCTCTGCTCCTTAGGATTCCCAAGGGAACTATGAACAAGAAACAAATTGGGAGAGGAACCAAAAGATCATTTTAATCATGGCTGAGTTAGCACACCAGTAACCTCTGAAACAGAGTCCTGCCAAGAGACTGAATTGAATCACATGGCCTGGGTTTAAGGCTGCAGTGAAACTTTCTAGCACCACCTCTGCCTCAGCAAGTTTAGGACCAGTATGCTTAGGTAGGCCCACCTAAAGACAGAGTGATCAGACTTTAAGCAATAGAGCAGGTTTTTGGTTTTTTTTTCACGACATTGCCCAAGATGGCCTTGAGCTCCTGAGCTCAAAGCAGTCTCCCCATCTCTGCCACCTTAGTAGCTGGGACCACACGTGTGTACCACCACACCCGTGTGTGTTGAATTATAATATCTGGGTTTTGTCCCCAGTTCTGGAAACAGCTCAGGAGTATGAGAGGTGAAAGGAGCATCTTTCATTACTCATAAGAAGAGCCCTTCAACCACACCTGAATTTGTATAGTGAAGTGACTTTTGGAAAGCTCTTATGAAGGACTAGTTACCAGGAGGAATAAACCACAGGTTGAGAGGGTCTGAACTTTCAGTCCAGCTCCACTGCTGGGACAGGAGAGGGCCACCAGTAGCCGGTGATGCAGTCAAACATGCCTGGATAATGAAGCCACCTTAAAACCCCTGATGGACAGTGTGCAGAAAGGTTCTGGGTTGGGGAATACCCTCAGGAGCTGGGAAACAGTCCATGTGGAGGGAGCCTGGAACTTTCACGACGCTCACCCATACCTTGTCCTATGCATATCTTCTTTCCTGAAGGGAATCTTTTGTAAAAACAAACAAAAAACCAGTAAACAAGCAAGGCATGGTGGTGCACACATGTAATCCCAGCACTTTGCAGGCTGAGGCAGGAGGATCACTGTGAGTTTGAGGCCAGCCTGGGCTACAAAGTGAGTTCAAGGCCACCCTGAACTGCCTAGTGAGGCCCTGTCTCAAAAACAAACACACACAGTAAACATAATTGAAGTACTCCGAGTTCCCTGATCCATTCTAGCAAATGATCCAACCCTAGGAGGGGATTGTGGAAATCCCCAATTTACAACCACTGAGTCAGCAGTAGAGGGAGCCCAGATTTGTGATTGGGATCTTAATGGGAACAGTCTCATGGGGCTGAGCCGTGATGCTAGCTCCAGGTAGATAGCACAAGAATTGAATGGTAGGAGACCTAGTTAATGTCTACAGAGAATTTGATAGAGGAGACCCACATATTTGATGTCAGAAGTGTTGTAGGAGTACAGAAAGAGATTATTCCCTTTGCTTGGGCTCTGACTAACCAGATTAATAACTCCTCCTGGTTGTGGGTATAGCTCAGTGGTGGAGTACTTGCCTATCATACACAAGGCCTCAGTTTGATCTCCAGCACTGGAAGAGCCTCCCCACCCACCCACACACATAGAAAAACAAGAGGTCCCTCTTGTGAAAGTAGCTAGTAAGAGGACAGGACAGAGGAGGCTAAGGCCTGTGCACACCTGGAATTAGGAAAAGCCTCTAAAATCTACTCAGCTTTTCAAGAATGGACATGCACAGAATTGAGTTCATCCAGTCAATGACATTTGGATGGTGCAAGCTCAAAATCTATGCAGAACATAATAACTGCCCTCTGAAAAGAAATGACAACCTGTGAGGAGCCATGGTGACAACTGTCTATGCCTGAGCAAAAGAACCTTAAATCTCCCCTTAACCATCCAATCAACTTCTCCCTCTTCTCCCCTGTTATGGTTTGTGTCAGATGTCCCTCCAAAGGGACATGACTGTCCTTATGCAGTCATGGGGCAGGCTTCTAGTGTTTTTGATTGATCCCTGGTCCAATGCTGGGATTATGGGTGTGAGTGCTACATCTGCCCTGGGGCAGGTATCTTGCATACAATGTAAGGGAGGGAAAGAGGCTTGCTCCCCATCCCTTGTTCCTTTGCCATGTTTTGCTGCCCTGAACTGTTGCCCTCTGCCATGTGCCACTGTGTCTTGGAGCCAGCTGAGTATGGACTGAAACCTCCCAAACTGTGAGCTAAATAAACCTTTCCTTCCTTAATTTTGGGTGTTGGGTATTTTGTCCCAGCAACAAAAGTAACCAAGGCATCCCCCTTCCTTCCTATAAATTCCCTCACAATCAACTGACAGAGTTGAGGTCGTTTTTCTTTCTTTCAGCTCCCAGCCTCCTTACAGGTTGACTTTGCAAAACTTTTTCTTTTTGCAAAAACCTAGTGCCAAAGTATTGGCCTCCATGCACACTGGGCAGCAGGCTCTTGCTATGTCCCTTGCTATGTCTCTTTTGTTCCCTCAGTTCATTGGGAAGGTGAGTGCAAAAGTCCCCGCCAAATGTGCATTGTCGATTTGACCCCTTGGCGAGGTCGTTTCCTCATAGTTCTGCTTGTAGGGGGCTCTGGCCATTTTGCACACTCACCATTGCTAAGACTATCACGCCTGACCAATGAATGAATTTGCCCATTGTAGGGTTAAAATTACTGTGTGTACCTTCTGTTTGAAGATTCTCAGCTTTGTGTGATATCACTGGCACAAAATGCAATTTGTATAGAATTCTTTAAAAAAATAAGAATATATGTATAAATAATGTGCTTAAAATATGGATATTTGGGCATGCAAGCCAGAATAATAGAAAGGGTTATTCATATTGCAAATATTCTTTATTTTACACAAGGATTTACTGATAAGATCTTAACAGGTAATTTCCCCTCCTTCTTCTCCTATTCCTCTTCTTCTTCTCCTCCTTCTTCTTATATTAATTTTATTCTATTTTCTGTTTAACCACATAAACTTTTTTTTTTTTCCACAAGCCTTAGGAAATGGGTAGAAATCACAGGGCAATCTCTTCTCCCACCCAAAAAATGTTAGTGTATATCTTAGTATATTTTGCTAAGTGAGAAAAGTGAAATTTACATTAGCAGTGCTCTGCAAGGTTCTTACATAAATCAAGACCTAAACCAGCCTGCAGTGATAGGTTTAGTCCTCTCTTCAGTTGCCAGGACAGTGGCCCTAAGCTGTTGAACAAGACAGGGAAAAGGAGACAGCAAGGGTACCTAGCAGGGAGGAGGAAAAATGCCAGATTCTTTGGAATGGTTTGTTCTTTTTCCTCTTTTCCTGCCCTTCCCTTTCCTTCTCTCTTTCCTTCCTTCCTTCTTTCCTTCCTTTTCTCCTTCCTTCCTTCCTACCTTCCTTC